TCTCCAACTAAAAATTTGGACATCCTTGTGCGGTTGAAAATTGATTTGTTTTCACTCTTTTTGATCTTTAGTTGTATCCATTTGACCCCTAACATTCTCGAATCTTCATCGTGAGTTTCGACACAACTTTTGAATATTTACACTTTAGCACCCAAACTTTGGATCTTGCCATGTTCGCCAATTTTTGTTTCTTTCTTTCAACTTCACTTCTATTCATCGAGTTTCACCTAATAACACATTAAATAATAAATTAGGTTATAATCACATTAAAAAAAATTACGAAATGTCAATATTTTAGAGCTCAGATATGTGTATAAACAAGTCAAAAAGTCGATTGTTTTTGTTTTTAAGAAGTTTCTGTTCCGACTGTAAGTCGAATTTTTGAATGAATGTTTACAAATTCTGTTTTATCATGCAAATGATTTTTGGAATACAGTGGAGATAGCTCGCTATTATGACGCTAATGTTCTCGAGACAATTGTTTCTCATCGTGAAATATCTATGACGCACAGAATTCAATCAGTATTTTAGGACAGCGAGAATGTAAATGAATTTACAAATGATGATTTAAATAAAGAATCTAAATATTATTTAATTAAAATTGAATATATATAAAATTAGCAAATTCTATTTTTTTCTTTAATTTTTTAATTTAAAATTCTTTAATTAAATATTCATTGTAAAGAAAACTTTCATTTTTTCAATTTTAATTAAATAATATTTATATTTTTTATTTAATTTTAATAATTTCCTTTCGTTTGAATTATATATACACACACACACACACACACACACACAAAGACAGAATTTGAATTTGATAATTACAAAAATATATATTATTTTTTTGATGAATGAGCAAATTCTATTTTTTTCCTTTTAATTTTTTAATTTAAAATGTTTTAATTAAATATTCATCGTAAACATGTCTTTAATTTTTTCAATTTTAATTAAATAATTTTTAGATTCTTTATTTAATTTTAATAATTTCCTTTGGTTTGAACTATATATTAAATTCGAAATTGATACTTAGTAAAATGAAATATCATTTTTTGGCGGATTAGCAAATTCTTTTTTTTTTCCTTTTTTTTTTTATATAAAATTATTTCTTCCGCGTAGTTGCTGCAATTCAGTTCACTTAATTTTATGAGATTATGCTATATTCCATTATCTTATGTTCAATGTGCTAATATTTAAATTTCTTTTTGCGGCATTGAGTATCACTTGGATGTGACATTGAGACAATTGCTCAACATGTAGATCTTTATCATCAGAAATCACGCGTGAAGATTAGATGACGGTTCGCTCGTTCCGGCCCCTGAGTTCCCACCATGTTCATGTCTCTAATGGAATAAAGCAATTAGGTCATCATTTGTAAATTCATTTACATTATCGTTGTCCTGAACTACCAATTGAATTTTGTGCGTCACATGGATGTCACAATGAGGAACAATTGTCTTCGGAATATTAGTGTTATCCTCGCGAGCTTTCTTCATTGTATCCCAAAAATTATTTGTATTATCATCAGCTCCATCTGAATGTTCATTTCTACCTTCCGCGTCATCCTTCCTCACTAAAGTCACGCAAATCAGTGTCATTTGCGTTTTGTTCAACTTAAACAAATAATTCACTTCAATATCAGATTTAACGTTCATATGTAGAATTGAAAATGGCTAATGCTCTTTGAATTGAATTCTCAGTACCATATCTTATCGAGATGAATCAACATTCAACTTGCTCTATATATCAAAGTACTTAAAAATTGTGTCGAAACTCACGATGAAGATTTGAGAATATTAGAGGTCAAATGGATACAACTAAAGATCAGAAAGAGAGAAAACAAATCAATTTTTAACCGCACAAGGATGTCCAAATTTTTAGTTGGAGATTCAAATCCATTTTTGGTGAAGTAAACGTTCGAATTGAAAAAGAGCTACTTCTAGTAAAGTTGTATTCCTTTGAGTTATCTTTCCAACGCATTTTAAATCGTTTTAATCGGATATCGAAAATAAAAGTTATGATAAAAATACTCAAACCGGCACAGAGTAACATCCGACTTTTTCGACTGTGAAAATTCGGTGGTTAACAACCAAAAAATCGGCTGTTCTGATTGTCTTTTCGTAACATTCATTAAGGCCGTTAATCGGAAAGTTATGCAGATAAATTTTTTTTTCGTGCTTAAAAAAATTATACATCTACTAAAAAAATTATCTGTCTGTTACTTATGTCGAATATTAATTTATCGAGTAAAAACGTCTATACATTTAATTAAAACGAAATTAAACATACGTAAATATACTTACTGATTCGAAGTAATTGACATAAAACAATTTTTTCTTCAACTATCG